TTACTCCTGGCTTCCTTAGCAGTTGCACCTGCAACAGGAATAGATGGTGTGATTGAGGATGGATTGAGGAACAGAAAGTGCTTCTGATGGCTGTTTCATGAGCCAGTGCTGGTGTGCTCGTCCTTTGTGGTTTGCCTCAAAATCATTGTGATGCTCTAAGCAAATGTAGCTCATGCATCCTACCCACCTGGGTCTCTGAATGCCTCTTTTATTTGCATTTGTTACCCTACAAGGGATAACTCCTTTGCCATGCCTGGACATGAATGTTGCTATTGAATGAATCTTCTGCCCCCCGCTGGAAAAGAAGTGAAATAATTTCAGTTGACTAGATTCTCCCCCCCCCTCCCCAATGTCTGAGTGGCTGCAGTTGGGCATTTGTGAACATTTCCATTTCCCTCTCTGATTTTCCAAACCAAAGTGATCAAGTAATACAATATCCTCGGATCAAATGTATTTTTATGATAAAATCTGTGGCAGAAACCCACTTTGGAGTGCAGGTAAGAGATGGGATGTTTCAGTTTCGTATTGTCACAGCCTTTCACAGCTGGATGGGGTGAGTGTGGTGATCTGCTTCCTGGGAATGGCCAAATCATGACAGCCATGCATTAAAAAAAAATCCCCTGATGACAGTCAAAGCTTGGATCGAGGAATATTAATGTCTCTTTAATGGCTGTTGGTCCTTCTCCAACGGACAGTGAAATCACCCGAGCGGGCTGTAGGAAACCACTTCCAATTAGAGATGGGCTGCTTGAAGTAGTGTTGCGAAGTCGTTTATACTCACAGACGGGGGACTGTCCCTGGGCTCCAGGAGTCGCTGTGCTTCGGGGGGGGGCGGGGTTCCCCCGGAGCCCGATTCTGCGGTGGCAGAAATCGGGCCTCCAAAGTGGGGGGTTACCCACTCCCCGCCCCCACTTGGCAGCCCTAGCTTGAAGAGATTGGGTTTTTTCTAAATGTGGGGGGCAGCCCCAGCAGCTGAAACTGAGAGACCCTTTGGAGACCTCTTTCCTCCTGAAGGAGTATCTATTTGTGTCCAAAGTGTACTGCTTCAATTGGCGTAAGCAAAGCAAATGTTTCAAAGGCACCAGAAATCCCCAGATCTCTCTGCTACTTGTGGCTATCTCAGAGCTTAAGGACATGGTGTGTGTAGTGCTGTTTGTGAATTGACATAAGTGCAAAACAACGTTCTGTCTTTTTTAATGAAGTCAAGAGGAATCAGATTTAATGCCAAAGGGGTACGCCACTGTGTTTTAATTTCCTCTTTCAGCTCAGTGAATGCTGGAGAGCTGTGAGAGGCAGGGGAGGGTTTTTGCCTGACTTCACAGTCACTTCCTCTCACTGTGTCTCTTGCACGGCCGTGTCTCTTGCACGGCCGTGTCTTCAGGCTTCAGGCTGCCCACAAGGTTCTGTCTTTTTTAAATCAAAGAAGTCAAGCGGAATCAGATTTAATGCCAAGGGGGTATGCCACTGTGTTTTAATTTCCTCTTTCAGCTTGGCATAGTATATGGTGCCCCCGTTGCTGTTTATATATGCCACCCATTCCAGCTCTTTTCCAGGAGCCTGCCTCACCCAGTTCATGTGAGAGCCTCAAAAGTTGAACCCAGAGGCTAGACAGGAGAGGCGGAGGGGCTCTCCGGGCCTTTTGACATCTCCTCCGGACTCTACCAGCTGGACTTCCGAATGGACACCTGGAAAGAAAGACATTTCAAAGAGATCTGATTCAGTTTTTCGTTTTGAATGCAAGTATATTCTCTTAAAAAAAACCAAACAAACAAATAAAAATCACCTCTGAATATTGCCAGAAAGAAAAGAAACTGAAGACACAAAGTCATTTTCTTCTGAGTCTTTGAGGAAAATAATGGACTAGAAGTTATCCGGTGCACACAGTTGGGGATTTTTTTGGTGTCACTGCTAGTGACATAGGTGGATTTAAAGAGGGAGCTTCCCCTGGATTTACATACGCCTCCACATAAAAGCCCTTTGGCAATGCTACACACTCCTTCCGCATTCAGAGTGCAGGTGATTTGGAAGAATCCTTGCTTTTTGGATTGTGACAGTCAACAGGACAGGAATTACAGGATTAAAGAATGTGTCAGGAAGGCAGATTTAAAGTATGAATTATTTTAAAAATAAGATATACCAACTGAGACTCACTGAGACCCAAAATTGCTCATGGAAAGTATGAATCAACAGGCCTGGAAAACTTTGAAAAAGGGATTTGATTCACCAAAGCATGACTACGGTTTGGTTATACAGGACAGATCAAGATGGATGTCTCCCTTTTGAACTAAGAAAAAGCTGTGACAGGCCTGTTCCCACATGGCCTTAAATGTGATAGGCGTATAAACTCTTGTATATTCACAATCCCTCAATTGACTTCCCAGCTCCTGAACTTCAGGATTTTTCAATGTATATAGTATACTGAGCCTGCTTGCGGGGAGGGCGGGATAGAAGTCAAATAAAATAAATAAATAAATACTATTCTTATTTGCCCCCCTCCCCCAAGACCTTCTCTGTTTGCATCCTGTCAGGTTTGCTTCTGTTTTTTTCCGAGGCCTACCTACAGAGGATGGGAACTGGAGAAATAAGCCAGTTTGCTTTGACAAGTCTGTTTTGCTTTATGTATTAACTAGGAAAAAGGCCCATTGTGGAAATAAATACAAGAGCCTCTAGAAAGAGGCTCTGGGTGGGTGTCCTGCCTTTGGACACTCAGTGTCAATTTGCTGTGGCGACCTCAGCAGGGTATAATGATGCTGAGTCCACCATTTTCTCCAGAGGAACTGATCTCTGCTACCTAAAGAACAGTTGCAATTTTGAGTGATCACCAGCCCTCACCTGGAGATTGGCAACAATGGTTCCCCAGAAGGGAATAGTTGGTTTGGAGGGTGGAGTCTATGGTTTTGTACATGTCTGAGGTACCACACCTCCTGAAACCTCATCCTCTCTAGGCTCCATCCCTCACATCTCCAGGAATTTCCCACCTGGAGTTGGCAACCCTATCTCCTTCCCAGTCAAT